CACTCCAATTCCCGGAGCTTAGGTTGCCGGTTTCCACCACTGAACAGCAGGTCCTCGTGACTATGGAGTTTATCCCGTCTGTTGTTAATCACACTTAGGTTTGTAATAAAAAAGCTTTATTTAATGTTTACATCGAGAAGTGGTTACTGGTCAGTTAAAGGTGATCAATCCTGTGCTTGATATGAAGGCAAAAATAATTTGCTCTTTCTCACCTAGACGGATCTTTGGTGAGAGAGAGACCGATTTTATGTTTTTGCTTCAAAACCATAGGTCACCTGAGCAGTGTTGTTGACTGTCCTGTTATCACCTAACTCAACCGTGGTTATCATACAGTACTGTGTTCATTGCGCTTTTATTTTAATTGATTTTACCACAGGGTGCTGTCTAAAGGCCTTATATGTGATTCATAAACCGTTGGTTGTAAAAACTAAAATCTTCGTTTATCACTGATCACCCAGGTCGTTCCAGGAAGCGTTTTTCAAACATTTGTGAAGTTCCAATGTATTCTTTTCACTTTGTTTTCGTTATATTTTCTACAAAGAAAATGCAAATAGATCGAAGCGTTTCACCTTGTACATCATTCATTGATCTTTATAATCGTTTTCGCTTGCCTTTTTATTTCGGACTCAGTACCGGTTAAAGTGAAACTGTTTCCTCTTTACACACCTTCAAAATCATAAGCGAGATCATTTTCTCAACTGCAGTTTAGTTTGAAGTGTAATATTTGCACCTGCGTCATAAGTATCAGCGGTTCTTTGTTCTTATCTCCTCAACAGAGTCCGCAAATGTGCTATGGATACTGAATCACTAGTGATATGATGATCATAATTATGGCGTCATACTCTACTCGTAGTTTAATTTACGTACCTCGTTGTTTAACAATTGCGTTGATTAATTTATATGTTAAACAAAGTCCCCACTGTTCAGTGGTTTGGGGTCCTGTAGAGCACATCTAAATCAGTTCTTGGTCAATGACTTTGAATTGAATTGATTACTTGAATTTACACAATTTTAGAATGAATGCCTATTAATTTAGTAATTGTAGCCGCGATGCTCACCAGATCGAAAAAGGTGAATGAAACTCGACTTAATCGGGCACCACTTTTTGTCTCTTTTCTCGATCAAATTGATTTCACTGTTTGACTTGTCTCTGTTCGTACTGATCTTTTTACTCACATCCAGACATTGACTTGATACTGCGCCTCTCACCTTTGTCAGGTGTTGTTTTTGTAATGGATAAACATGTTAAAACAGGATTAGATGGAACCTATCTCCCTTGATCTCTTATTTTTACTGACGTGAGTAAGTATGCTTGTGTGTATGCGTGTGTGTGTGGGAGAGAGGGGGAGATCTATTTTGTCTGGGGGTAGGGAGTGGATGATGTCTCACACTGGTGACAACATGATCCAAGCAAACAAGTTTCCGACCTCCTCATTAGTTTAGGTCGTTCGCTATTTGGCAGCAAACCCTTTAGTCCTCGTTATTTTACTCTACCGCGTCATATTCGTCCTGTGTTGCTTGACACTCAGGACTAGAAGGATAGATCCTCGAGGTAGCTTATTCCTCATTTGGGGGCAGTGTTCTCTGATCCAAAACAAATGTGATTAGCTAACTACATGTATCCATGCTGTTTCACTGCGTATGTTTTTATACCGCGGACATATTTTGTATGTTAGCTCAATATCAAGAATAGGCGATTATAATTTCTGTCCTCTTATTTACATGCAGAATTTATTACTCAAATCCAATCGAACGGATTCTGAGACCACAGATATAATAAATTATTGTGCCTTAACTGGAACTTTATAACCACATTTTTTTCTTAGTAATGATAATTGTCACAGGATGCTGCGGCATTTAGCATTAGCAAAGTTGTTATCAGTTAAAATTATTCAGTGAGTCAGCTGACTTGTTATTTCAGTACCCTCTCCTACAATGCTTACCTTACTTTTTCTTCAAATCAAGTCAAATCAAGTCAAGTCAGTAGTAGCTTTATGCACCCGGATGGGTGTATTTTCAGCAATTACACCATATTCGTGGGTTCAGATTTACAATTTCTAAAGACAATGTGCACAGCTGGAGAAGATTATCAGCATCTTATTTGTTTAATGTCGGATTAGTCTAACTCACCAATGATCCACAAGAATTACTTATCAACGTTGGTGACCAGTCTCTGAAATTGATGTTCAATTTAATATCGTAAACTACCGAATACATTGACAAACAACTTTGCCTTTTTCATACTCACAATAGAAAAAGCGAATGATCATTTCAACTGTTTAACTTTTTCAAACTTGCATAACATTTTCAGGTGTACTCCCTAACTACCAATTCCCATGACATTCCCAAGTTGATAAAATTTGAATCCTGACCCACCTCGATTTGTCTCGCTTAAACAACATTCGATACACGCACATTGTATATCACCCTACCCCCAGTTGAATTCAAACAGTAATTTGGACCATTTTCGAACGTACCTGTTTTCTTTGTTGTTACCGTTGCTAACTGAAACCGATCCATGTATTCGTTATGGCGATATCAGCGCTGTGATTATGAGTCCACTCACTGACCGATTACACTCCCCACGCGATGCTACATCGTACGGAGCCCGTTCAGCTCTGGTTGTAGTTGTTTTGATGATCTTTTCTTTATTGCACTGTCCGGTTTCGCCAATTCCCTAGCAACCACAACCACTAACGCTTTAACTATAGCTCATCGTAAAAACATGCATTATATGGACGTGTGTGTACCCTACTGATATTTTGGAATTATCCTCGCTGTTTCAATCATGTTGCATCACTGTGTCAGACACTTGCACGAAACTACTTCGCATTAAAATGGTATCTTGGGCGGTAGAAACAATTCATTATTGGAGTCAAATGCGTAAAGATTCCATCTTACTTTCCACCCTTCATCGAAGCCCAGGCGCAGGGAGAAACAATGAAGAAAAACCCACAGTCTTTTTGTTCTGTACCACACACAAGTTTAGAATCACCACCACAGTGGATGTATAATAACTGGACGTCGAAAACGGAATTAATTAAATTGATTCATGTATTAATCTCGTAGAAAACCTTTCAAAACATGTTCCTTTTAGCGCCATAGCACTTTCAGTGAAATGAAATCAGTTTGTCTTTCTTCGCTCGCTGAATGGGTCAGTCAAGTGTTTTGGCTGTTTTCAAGACCTCCCATGGGCTGTACGTATATGAAAACAAAGATATTATCATGGCTTTCATCAAATTTTTGAGATGGGAGAACTATTTGTAGATGAGCCCCCTTCATTGTTGTCATGGTAACCGTTAAGGTGTGATCCTGGATAAATAAACCTGCGCAAACTGTGGGAACACGAGCTGTTTGACTTCGAATAGGAAATTGCACACACTCATTACCATCTTTGGATGATGCACTGCTATGCGGTATACATAATTAAAATCAATCTCAACACAGGCACGTCGGTCGATCGATGAGTTTGGTCATTTTAGTTTCCTACGCACAACCGAGCAAGTCACGAGAACACAAAAGAGCTTTTATTGACTCAGCATTGTGCACGCACGCGTGCACACTTACGCATTCTTTGTGGCAGTATCAGAAAATTACCTTGGAATATTGAAATATGTCTCTGCAGAAATGTCATAGCATGTGCGCACTATGGAAAGCGCACATACAGACGGAGCGTGTACATTAATGAATTACTGCCAGCCCTGAGGTCCGGTAGTTTTTCTGTTAGCAAATATTCGAGTGTTTTGCACACCTGAAGTGTCGAGTGCTATTCGGATATGCATGGGGGAGTTGAGGGAGGGTAAGATGAGGAGGGAGTGAAATACAAGCTTTGAATCCATTGGGTGCGTTTGGCGTTTAATTGATACTGCCGTCAATCAACTAGAGCGACTTTGTGCATGCTTGAAACTATTTCGTATTTTTCCCGTACTGATGAGGAATTTTTAAGCAACATTAGAACCCTAGTTGCATCGTCTTATCACAGGATAACTGCATATTTGTAATCAAATAGCCTATGTTCTCTACGGCGTCTTCCACTGGTAGGAATTTGAACTTGAAATGACGCTGTCAGATGGTGTGTGAACCAGTTGAAATTACACACAGGGAACTTTGCATAGATCGGGTTTGAGGGTACGAATGGCTAGAGCCTCGGCAAATTTCAGTAACTTTGTGTTTGTTGTGTTGTAGATGACCTGAAATGAGTGAGTTGGAGTGGCACAATGTTTTCGTTCGAATAAGTGTTGTGTCATCGAAGGTCTTAGTCTTTTCTGCTCATTCGATGACGTAACAGTTTTGAAATTATCGTCCATCGTTTTCCATGTGTTCGGCCTTCGGTTACGTAACTGCCTCTTTAACAAAAGTGGTTTCGGCAAAACCGTCTGAATCACCATCCTTGATCGACTTTTTATTTCTGTTGACTCCATGCTGACAATCAACTCTGTCATTTGTTGTGAAGGAAAACAAGCAGGAAAACCAAAATATATTTGGCCTTTCAAAGTAAGCTGAGGTGTGACATTGTATCAAACACCTCATGTCATCCCAGTCAACTGTTCGAGTAAATGAGAAAATCGGCTCACAGTTTCTCTTGTGAACTACTTTCTACTGGGTTAAATAATTCCTCGCTAAAAACGTACCAGATAATCGACTGTGGCCCTGATGCGTTCCCAAAGCAAATCCACCAGTTTTTTTCGGTAGTTGTTAGCGCTGTAGAGTGTAACACCGTCCCAGTAAGTTTCCTGTTCTACCTGGAAGCTCCCAAATCTCCTGGCACAGAATCAACAGTATAGGTTTAGCGTGAATGCTTTCCTTATTCTCACACCTTTCTATGAAACATCTTTGATCAAGGGGTTTATCCTCTTTAACCGCAATTCATGTTTTCAGTTTCTCACAACCATTCTGCAGGACAATTTTGGTTCGCGGTTTGTTGATCGCCCATTTGGCACGGTTTAAAGCTAAGAACAGTATTAAAATAAAGATTCAGAAAGCAGGTAAACCTGTTCGATGTAGAAAGTAAGTGGATGCACAAGCGTCATCGTTTACGACCGTCAGTCGTATCGTTCAATGTCTTTGACTGTCGATCAGACTGATCTCCAGGTCCTCAACCTGTAATTGTCATGTAACCTATATGACCAAGACCCGTTGGCCAAGGTTTTACGTGCCATCATGTCAAACTTTAATGTGGTCACCTTTCGCGTACCACCCATTGCCTGCCACGAATCATCGTACCCCAAAAGCCTATTTAGTAACATGCGTAACTACGGAGTTTAATCATCTCTCTACAGTGAGTGACTGCTATTATTAAATGAAACTACATACGGGGAATTCGTCACCAACAGTACAAACCCATTAGCCCAACTGGAAATCGAACCCGGGAACTCACAGATAGAACACAAGTATGCTACCCACTCGGTCAACGGGCAGCTGATCAGACCGTTTTATTCACTTTTCGTTTACACGGTTTACCACAGCCCATCGTTTGGAGCTTGGTGAGGGCATCGCTCACCTTAGCACTAGCCTCGATCTCCATTTGGGTCGAGGGATTCGCACTGCTAATGAGACCAAACCAGGTCCAAACAGCTGTACAGTGCTTCCTAACTTTTCAGTTCACGCTTGCTCTATGCACGACGAATTCCCTCTGTGAAATTGAATCAACTCCTCCATTACTTTCATGAAATGAAATTCACTATAGAACTAAGTCAGTCGATCAGCTTTCTCCGCCTGCTGTATTGCTCCTTGACCACCAGTGAGGTTAACCTAAAGCCAATGGACGGGCACCACCATTTGAATGTGTTGGTAAAATCCGTAGATGCTCTGCTTTGTTTGGTGTTCAATAACAGCTTCACATCAGGTGGCCTCAGCTGCATTTCAAGTGGAGCCATCATTTTTCAAACGGTGGCGTGAGGAAAAAACGGCTAATCTGTCCGGACTATCCTCTATTTTGGTTCTGTGCAAATTTTCTCAGCTGCGATCGAATTCAACCATTGTCTTGCTTCGATATGATCACTTTTCTCCTTCTTGGTATTTATCTTAAGGAAATTTCGGTGATTATGCAACAACTTGGGCTCATGTTCACATCGAAGCATATGCACAAGTCAGGAACTGAGTCATCGGACTTATGCTCCTCTAGAATAAGTTGCCTCTCGGCTTCAAGTATATACCGAAAACTCTTGTGTGTTTCATCGGGTTTTGGCATAGTGGCACTACAAACGATCCTTCAACGAGCCGCACGCCACAGGGTCAACTTTTGAAAGTCGATTTTATGTTTCTTAGAACATTTTTTATTCCCTTCAAAATTAGGGATTTTACGCGAGCTAGAAAATTTTCATTATTCGGTTTGTTCACTGTGTACCTGATGAAAAAGATAAGACTTAGAATA